TTTCTACTGATACATTCCTCAAAACCCAATTTGTAAGTCAATTTATTTAAGTATGTGAATGAATTTCAAAAAAAAAAATTTTCTACTATAAGCATATTGGTGTATCAATTTTTTTGCGCCGGACCATATATGTTAATTAATAGGTGGGAGAAAAAAGTCTTGAATATAAAAGTAACGTAAGCAATAACAAATTTGACTTTATAAGGAATATAACTTTAACTCGATTAATTATCTACTGGGTTTTTTGCTTTTTATTTGATTCGTCATTATCTGAATCCATTTTTTTGTCTGCTTGTCGTTTCTTAATTATAGATGCAGCAATACTTCCTATATAGATACTTCACGGCTTTTCTCTTGCCTCTTGTAATCCTTTTTTGGGGCGGCGGTACGATTGGAGGCGTGAATTTTTGCTCTTTGTATAATTCCTGTACACGTTTTGCGACCAGTGATTTAGCTGTCGTTGTATCTTTCGTAGACCAGGATTATAGGAATGTATCAAATCATCAGATCAAATCTCAAGACATCGTAGTAGAGGACGCCTTCGTATATAATTTAAATCCCTGTAAATTGGACTGCGGCGTTTTTTTGAGCAGCGGTTATTGATTTAGAAAATCTGCCGGCTGTGGGGTGCGTTACTATTATTCCAGCATTTGTAACAGATGGTATGCTCGTAACCTTTCCGGTAAATTTGGCGATCATTGGCAATTTGCACTGTCGATCGGAAGTAGTATGTGGGAGAAAATTACCATATCGAGTGAATTGTCGTCGTTAAGCAAGTAAGAGAATTTGCCATGGACAAGATACACCGCATTCGTTTGTAATGCACCGCCGGTCAAAGGTTCAAGATCTTCGCTTCTGTCAACTGCCATTTCTGGTTCAGGAATAAAGTATGTAAAGCGTATCCGCTGTGGTTCCCCTCAGGTATACGGCTAAGCCCTATTCCTCTTTGTATTTGACTGCTTCTACATTTTGTTCGACAATATATACATTTTTTTATTATTAAAAAGATTTTATTAGATTTTTAAGAGGAGTGTAAGTTAATAAATGTGTTTTTATTAGATGTGTTTTTATTAGATGTGTTTTTATTAGATGTGTTTTTATTTATTATTTAGAATTTTAATTTAATCTTTGAGATAATGTGGACGTGAATTGAGCAGTACGACTGTATTTATAAGTTTAGATTGACTTGCATTGTGCATATCTGGTGATGTTATAACTCCGCCCTTATCGCTCAAACTATCGCATATTAATATCGATTATTATTATAAAAGACTCTATCCTATTAATTGTCGCGGCTGACGCTGAAATCCGGCTGATGCTGATGCTGAAATCCGGCTGATGTTGAGGCTGATCTTGATGCTGAAATCCGGCTGAATCTGAAACTAACCAATGGGGTTAGAGAATAGAATCTGATCAACCAATGAAAGATCACTGTTTCAGCTTCAGCCGGATTTCAGCAATAAATAAGAAATTCTTAAAAGCGATAGTGTAACCTCGATGTGAAATTTTATTAATAGATGTGTGTGATCCGGCTGAAGCTGAAACCATGTTTTTCATTGGTTGATCAGATTCTATTCTCTAACCCCATTGGTTAGTTTCAGCTTCAGCATCAGCCGGATTTCAGCTCAGCCGCGACAATTAATTAACTGTTGTTACGTAGCTATGGCGTTGATCACACCACATCGAGATACACTATTTATTGCTACTTTTTTTATTATTAAACGATTACCATATAGTTGTGGCGGTATTTCGATTACAGATTACAGTATCGCTGCTTGCATGCAAAATAGATAATATAGATATCGTAAATCCAAACGGTTTTTTATTTTCAAAAAAAGTATATGCCAAGAAAGAAAGTGGGCGTATACATAACGAATTGTGCAAGCGCTTTGTCCCAAAAGAAATTAATTTGTCAGGTGAGTATCCAAAAAGAATTATCCAGATCAAATTTGTCAGGTGAGTATCCAGAAGAAATTATGCAAATCAAATTTGTCAGCATACACTGCTCCGCATAAAAAATACGTATAAAATAGACCTGTCGAAATGAAATTCAATGAATAGAATAGAATAGAATAGGAATAGAGAAAGTAGTATCCCCAACTTTACTGCATGAATGAACACCAGCACAGAAAAATGACCAGTTGTTGACACATAATGAGATCAGCTGACCTACGGAAACATGGAAACAGAAATAATAAGAATGGAAAGTTAAATGCTGTCTCGTTCACTTGCGTTGACATTTTATTACGGTTACTTACCGGCACTGGATTGCCCTACAATAACGCGAATGTTTTTTGGGGGAGGCGGGTTTGACGATACGAAGCAGGAAGAAAAGCGCAGAATAATATGATTATAACAGACGGGTGAAACATAGAAACGGAAACGAGTAATAAGTGCTACGAAATAACTGTCTTGAAAGACATCTGTTGAATAACACGCGGGACATACAGATAAACTACTGACTCTGACTATTTGACTCCTTAATCATACTTTCGCTTTTCCAGCAGTAAGATTAAGCTGTTCGTAAGTCTGATGTACAAAGACGGAACCATCAATGCCTTGGCTACGAAGTCATCATCACTAAATTGTAAGTTTTTTTCTTGTAAAAAAGTTTCAAGTTGGGTCAAACTAAATTATCCACGTCTTTGTACTTATTGTAGACATTTTAAACGCGCAGTTATATAATGTAAGTGTTTATATTTGCAGACCTGGATTTGTATTACACGAATTTGTGATTTCAATTATGTCTACCACCTTCTCTAAGTGCACCCGTGATTTTCATGTAGGACAACAATGAGTGTTCAGTGTGATTATACAGACTTTGCCGTCGGAGTATTGATTGAAACACGCAGTATAACCCAATTTCTCCACCGCTTTGTGTTGACGCTACAACATACCATATAAATGACCTCGATCAAATAAGAAAACCTACCAACTTTATCTTATCGATTAAAATACTTGTATTAGTGTCAGAAAAGGATTCCCATCTAATGAGAGGACGTGTCTAATTTATTGTAACTAGAATTATAACCAGTAGATCGAGCCAAGCTCAAGGTCAGTAACGGTATTGCGCTCTCATTATTATTGGGATCCCCTAATGTAATATCATTTCGCCAGAAACTTATTCACGGTAATTACAAGTGACAGTCGCTGGCGAAAATAAATGGCGGTCAGTTTGAATTCCCCCTGTGTTTTTGCAGTAATCCAAAATGTGACCTTGCGCATCCAGATTTGTTACCACTTACAGCGGAAAATGGAGGTTTGAGTCTGCTCCCAACAGCTTTCCTCCCGCAAGGGCTCGTACCAGAAACGAAGCGTATTGCCCAGGCTCTTCATAATGCGTTACTTTTAAGCACAGTAGTCATCCCCGAGTAACTAACAGCACAGCTTGGTGCCTAAATACACCTTATGTTATTAACACAGGGCCGTTACGTCCTTTTTCACATAGACGAAATCCAGCTCCTAGACAATTGAACAATTTCTTGCAATTGTCTAATATGGGAGTCACCAAATACGCAACCCAGAAGCCAGGATTGATTATACATAGATAGATCCACTTGTTCTATCGCTTTTGCGGGTTTCTAGAATTATTTCATTGTTCTTGTTAGTATTAATAGAACAGCTAAATACAACAGTATTGAAACATTGTTAATGTTTAATCAGAGAGACATCATCCACATTATTAAAAGTTCGGTTTGAAACAGCCTTAGATAGTAAAGTCATCATTTGTTGTAAGTTGGTCAGAAGCTTTAGTAAACCTCACCTAATACAAAGCTTGAATATGAAACCCTTTTTTTTTAACCGCAAGGATAGTTGAAAAGTTTTTCAATGCTTTGGTGTGACACAAGCGAATGACGTCAGACAAATTATAAATTAAATTAACAATCGAGAATTTCGACGTTGAAATAACCATGATGAACCCGCAAATAGACTTGACAGATCGTAACGGCCTACAGGGCGACAAATGGGTGGGTCCAAAGCCCGAAATTAAGATTCAAGATCTAACCGAGGAGAATATTCGATTCACGCTTTCTAATACGGATCTAAGGTGACGGTTTTACCTTATGCCGTTCCCTTTGTCTTATAAAGTATCGGATTAGATCAAACTGATCTCTGCTATAGTATGGCAAATGCGTTACGACGCATAATGATCTCAGAAGTTCCTACAATAGGTTTGTTACATTGTTTTTGATCGAGCAAATTCCCAGGAACGTTTCTAATCGAAAACATCTCTTTTTGATGAAGCTATCGACATGGTCGAAATCGAACTTAACACATCAGTATTGGCGGATGAATTCATTGCACACCGACTCGGACTCATACCTCTGGACAGCACAGAAGCGGAAAAAATCAAATATACGAGAGTAAGTGGGTAATGTGACTGTTCTGACTTGTCTTTTGTTACGGAATTTGCTTATGAATTCGATTTATGTAGGATTGCAGTTGCTCTCAGTATTGCCCGATATGTTCTGTCGAGATGACGCTGAATGTTAAATGCACCCAGGAAAATGTAACAAAGGACGTAACCAGTAAAGACCTCATTAGCAGTGATCCTCGTGTTGTCCCTATTTACTCAGGTATTATCTCTTCGTTAACATGGATGATATTCTTCACAAGCTCATCGCGCCGATGGATTCTCCCATTTAGGAAAAAACGCCCCGGGTGTCCTTATCGCGAAATTAAGAAAAGGTCAAGAACTTAAAATAAAGTGTATAGCCAAGAAGGTTTGTTATTGTCGATACTTGCGGCTATCTTTGTGAAAGACTAAAAACTAATATGATGCTGCGATCATCCAGGGAGTTGCTAAAGAACACGCCAAATGGAGCCCATGTGCAGCCATTGCGTTTGAATATGATCCACATAATAGATTAAGACATACTGAATACTGGTTTGAAGAAGATGAGAAGAAAGAATGGTATGTTTCTTGCGATAAAAATTATTGTGATTCGTTAACATGTTATTGATCGTCGAGAATTATTAGGCCAAAGTCAAAAGTTGGTGCAGAAGAGCCCGAACCATCGGAAGGAGAGCGTAAGCATATTTATGTCATCGTTTCGAATCACGGCGTTTTGGAGATTTTTGTAATAATCACCCTTATTCTCTAGCCTTTGATTATAACCTCAAGCCTAATAAATTCTACTTTAATGTTGAGGTACGTTTTATATATATATATATACATGTATGTATATATATTTATTTTATTTATTTATAATTTTTTATATAACATAAAATTCTAACGATCCTCTATCAATATAGACAATTGGATCAGTGAAACCAGAAGAAATTGTTTTGCAGGCGCTACAGCGACTGCAAGACAAGCTCGGAGTTATCCAGATAGCATTGGCAGATGATGCCACTCAACAGATACAACAACAAGAACAACAAATGGCTTATTGAGCTCCAAAGTTCTTGCGACATATCCTGGTAATTGAGAAACCTTGGTTCAGTTTATTCACATCATCGATGAATTTCATTCATAATATTGGATATATTCTATACGTCACCTCGCTCCCTGATGGAGACTCTAAACTTCCTTTGCAGAAGACCAGAATAGACGTATTTCATGATGATTCTCGTTTTTGATGGTGTAATAATTACCTGAAATATTTCGGCAGTCAGTAAATTGCAATTATTCAAATAAAGGCTCTGATCATAGACATACCTCTAGGCACGAAGAAGTGGTCTCCTGTCCCTACATGAAACGTGCATTTGTGTATTGTGACTTTAACCGGTCCCTTGGCCACGTAGAATACCTAAGAACAAATTGAGCCATTAATGACGGAATTTCTTTCCAAAATACTTAAAGTGCATCTTGACCAATAAAAAGAGCGATTTGCATTTGTAATTCAGTACGACGAATGAATAATATATAAAGCAAGAGTGCGTTTCCAATTACCAATGCTGTGTCTTTACTACTCTTGCTTGGCTTTTCTGTCTCCTTAGGTATCTCGACTACTCCATAAGCCAGAAAACTGCCTTCATAAAACAACTTTTGCATTTTATAAGCCTTCTTCTCGCTTGCTTGGGTCGGATTCAACATTGCTGTGGTAGCCACAATTGCTGATTGGTGCCAAGATATAAATTACACCTTAGTATCCTATGCGAGACACAAAATCAAAGACAAACCATACTGATACATACATCGCCTGACTTCCCTATTAGTACCAAAGTCTACCACAACAGCGTCTGGCGATGTGGGTTTTTCGATACTCTCCTCTTTTGATTCTCGATGGCTACTAGCCTTATTGTTGCTTTTCCGCTTTTTGACGCCACCTTCTTTAGTCTTGGTATTTGTTTCTTCATCGTCACTGATTATACGTATTACATCTTTGACAACTTGGACAGGGACTCCAACTATACGTTGGTCCAGAAACCAATATTAGCAGATTGCATCAATGTCAATCAGAATAAGCCAATCAGACTCACCAGATCTCCGCATTTCGTAAACTACTTTCTCGTTCCGCCAATACTCTACAGGCTTTGTGCGTTGTCGTTTGCTTCGACGCACTATTGAAACAAACCAAAGTTTTTTTTTCATATAATGAATCCGCTCATAAACAAAAAGCATATATACTTACGTCCTAGCGGTTCTTCATCCTCTGTATCTTTGTTTTGACTATCAGACGCTGATTTTTCCACCTTTCTCGATCTTCGTTTTAGTTGTTTGTTTTTGCTTTGAGTTTTGGGCCTGGTCCTAGTCCTGATCTTGGTCTTATTTATACTTGAACCAGCATCTCCAAGTGTTTGGTTATTCTGGCCAGTTCCCAAATCAAATACCTTGCTGGACGTAAGAGTATCTTCAATATTTGATGGTGGTAATGGACTAGGACTAGGTAGCGATTGTCTATTTGGAGTTAGGAATCGATCAGCAGCTAGGGTATCCGCTCGTACTGGTGTCGATTCTATATAAATTGGGCTGGCGTTTCCCGTTGGGCTGGCGTTTCCAAGTGTGTTGTCATCCTGGCCAATTCCAAAATCGAAGGCCTTACTGGACGACTTTTCTGCAGGAGTATCTTCAATATTTGACGGTGGTAACGGGCTGGGACTGGGTAATGGGCTAGGGCTGGATAATGATTGTCTGTTTTCAAAACAAATTGGAGTTAAAAATCGTGCTGTAGGTAGCGTATCCACTGGTGACGACCCTTTGTAAAGTTATAAAAGTCAGTTGTCTTTTCGTTTGTCTCATACAAATCAAACAAATAATCAGTATGAACCTACTTACTCTTAAAGACGATAGCTTTTGCAAAAAAATCATCAATATCGTCAAACCCTTCCGAATCCTTCTTCACTGTGTTTGGTACTGTTACACCTGTTCTCCTGCAAGGCGTTGAGTTCGGAAATCAGCGCATAAGCATTATATTCAACACGGCACTTGTAATTGCTTGCCTGCCACGAACGCCTAATTCATGATAATTATCGATGCGGCGGGATCTACGCGTTTCGGTTTCGTTTGACATGCTACTTGGTCTTTCAACTTTTTTCCCAGGACGCATCCTGATAAAAATGGTAAAATGTTGGTTGTGACGTAATCCTAATAATTGACAGTCACACAAGTGTGACACACAGTTAAGAGGGCCACTACTATCAGGGACTCTTTCATACGGGGATTTTCATATTAGTCTTATGCACACATCATTGCGCTCGGGCGCACCCGTCACACGAGAAATCCATCAGCCAACCTCGCTTCAACATGCGAGTTCGATTTTCTCCTCATGATGCTGTCGAAATGGCACTATTCCTCAGTAGTGATGAGTTTCTTAGTTTCATTGTACAGATCCCCAAATGCAGTCGATCTCTTTTAATTAAAGTGTTTGAAATTCAACATGTGGCACATTGCAATAACTAAATAAAGACAAGTTCGTAAACCGAATATATCGTTAATCTGAAAACGCCATTAATATTAATTGCCACGGCTTTTGATTACGTACTAAAGTTTTTGACGTCTGTTATTAGCCATTCAAATTTTTCATACACCATAGTAATAGATGTTGCAGTTTTCCTTTTAACACCATTAACAACAAGCTGCTATCGTTTCTTGTCTTGATTAAATAACTGTCTAGTAATCCCGTTGCGAAAATTTATCATGACTCTGCCTGTTGTCGATAAACAAATTACCTTCTTGATCGGTATATGCTTCGTCGTAGAAATACTTTCTAAACCTTCTGACTACATGCCTTATTTTAGAGAATATAATGGGACTGAGTTTCAACGAAATAAAGATGTGATTCTTCAAAAAGGCTTTCCTTTAACAAAGCTTGTAAACTTGACATGTTCGACACAAAGAAATGTGTTATGCGTAGAGGAATTGGTGCCATGAGTTTAGTAAGAGGGGTGATTGTTTGTTTTTGCATCTGTTATGATAGTTCTGCATGGCCAAGAATTGAATGGCTACGCTCCCGAAACACTTTTAACTGTCAAGATAGTTCTTTTTCCATGTTATTACCTCTCACCTGGCGCATTTCAATTAAATTATTCTTGGACTATCTTCCTCGGTTAACGCAAAGATAACACATGAACTCTACCGGTAAATTAAATCTTCTTTGCTAAGTGATGTCTTTTAAATTAGTCAAAAATAGCGTTATAAGTGTATTCGGGAGGTGTTTATTTCACCAATATCGAAGTTATTCTTTCTCGGTAGTTGATTGAATCGGACCATGTATTCATCTTTAATATTAACACTCGGTGAATAAACTTATTGCTAAGAACGCATAAGACACTTGTTTATTCGTTGTCGGTTAGTAATAAAATTATGCCTGAGATTATCCGGAATATTGTCATGTATTATAGAAACTTTACAAATGATTAAAATATACTTTATTTTTTTAATTTAACTGATAGAGTAAACGCAATGGAACTTCCTGCTGTTAAACCCTTTTGCAATAACTCTAATATCAATTAAAAACGACAGTCTCTTTAGAACGTATACAGTATAAGAAAACACTATTACAACCCAGTGCCAAACTCCAATTTTCATGCAATAATCTGCGCGGTCACATTTACTTGCTTTTATGGATATGTATTATGGTTTAAAATTCGATATTTGTTATAATCAAGACTACATACACTGTGCATCAATTTTAATTTTTGCACCATTAATTCCATCAATATCAGCATACTAATGCTACATAAAACATCTTTTAAGGTAAATCTTTATGCTAAGTGCTTATCTTTGAACTAACAATAAACTAGTAAATTACAAGTTTTCAAAATCTTGAGTCACTAAATTATAAGGCAATAGTAATAGCAATAGACAATGTTAATATTATAAATAGACTTCGTTTATACAAATGGGTTGTCTTCATACCTGCAGCTGAATCCAACTCATGGCTGTTTCTTGTTTTAGCCAGATTTCCAGTAGGTAAGATCTTCTAGAATATTTACTCTCCTTCTCGAGAAGTGATAAGGGTTTTACATCATTATGATAGATGGTCTTCCACGTGTTGTCATCAGAATTGTCCTTGTCCACCTCTTCAATAAGCTTTCTAATATCATCATAAAGTTTCTGTACATCTGGATGCTTGCAGAATCAGCATCACAACACTGCTCGGCAAAGTTTCTTGTATTCCTCTGGTGCAGAATCAGGCATCAATGGTTGTAGCCCGTCCTTAATGCCACATACTAAGTCTCTATCGAACTGCCTATCTCTAAAAGGTGGTTCACCAGTAGCAATCAAATACATAATGATACCAAAAGAATACACATCTGATTCCTGAGTAAATTTGCAGGTATGGAAGATTTCTGGTGCAATAAAGGGTAAAACGCCTTGAATGGTTGAATGTGACTTGCATAAATTCACTAATTGTGATTGCATATGAATAATTCTGTATTATGTAAATCTATTACTATGTTTCTGCCATGAAGATCACAATGCACTAATCCCACGTCATGAATATTGCCCAGATACCATGTAATATTCCTCAAATACCATAATTTATTCCTCCACGTCAATTTGTTAATATTTTGATCCAAATAAGACAAAAGACTACCATTGTTAGCATATTGCATAACAATCATGTACTCTTTTGTTTCTGGGTTTTATGTCGCTCCATAAATTTCAAGGAATGAATAATCTGTACACTTAGCATGATTTTTGAACTATTAAATAAAATAAATACAGAGTCAGATTAAGTATACTTTAATTAATAACATCATAATCAACAATTGCTTACCTCGGAAATAAATAATTCCGGCGTTTCAGCAAAACTCTTAAACCGTTTGAGTACAACAGTTTGTGGCATATTTTTTTCTAAAGTGCTGGTAGTAAGAACTGTTCCATAACCACCAGATCCGATCTCTTTGAGTTCGTAAAAGTCGCTATATTGCATGTACTTTACATCTTCATCAAGTCGTATAAAGTTGTCCAATATCAGACGTATTTCATAGTAGAAAACTAAATAATATTCCCGAATAGATGGCTCCTGAGTGATTCCAATTATCCAAATATTATCTGGTGTTAATATCTCTGGGTATCTATTTGAACAATAATCGACGTTAAACGCGCGATATGCACTTATCAATTGCATTTTACGCGTGAAATAATTTATCTGATGAAAATCAAACAACTGATCAGAGTGTCACCCGTGTCAATTCACATTCTGCTATGTAACCTCCTTTTCAGATTTGCTGTGCCTCGTGATGCCGCCTCTAACCTAATTATTTACTTCGTGCCTCTTTGCTATTCCATTTTTGTTATTTAGACTAACTTGGATTTTAAAATTATGGTTAATTTCTTGCGGATCATCTTCTCGCAATTTTATATAAATCTCTTGCCTGGATTTAAATCTCGTCCTCGATCTACATCACGACCTATATCTTGATCTTTATCTAGACCTCTATCTAGGCTTCTGCCTAGGATCTCCTCCCCACCGTTGTTCAACTCTTTATATTAATATACTCTGGGGGGAAAAAAAAAACAAAGTTATAACGATTATATTTGTCAGTCTGGACTTATTATTATTATACGATTTACTTTCTAAAGCAACTACAGTAGTTTGCTTCATGTTCACTTCAAAATCGCTATCATAGACGATATATCCACCTTTTTTACTTAGCGAAAGCCGATCATTGTTTGGGAGATCATCGCCAAAAATAGGTTATTCAATAAGACATCAATTTGATTCCCGTTTGAAAAAGGGTATCAATCATCTCTTTTTTTTTTTTTGCAAATTCAAAAGGTTCATATTGGCAAAAAGTATAGATAATACCTCGGATTTGCTTCTGTTATTATGAATACATAAAGTCGTCCAACTAATGATAAATATTATTATTATTATATTAAATACAATTTTGTCGATGTTTATGCATAAAATAATGATGATTTTGATCAAGTTAACTTTTTCGTTTAACAATTAACAAATAACAATTCCAAAATTGTAAATTTTAAATATTAATAATCGATCTTCACATAAATTTAATTTTAAATTTGTACCACTTACCTAACTGATACGAACTGATATGTTAATCAACTCTTCCGATAACAAATACAAAACTGCAAAAAAATAAAAATAAACACTTTACATCTATTAATATCATAAGCAGTAATTTTAAATTCATCCCCTTCTCTATTTTTTTAATCAATGCCCAAAAAATTGAAACAAATTCGTTGCAAAAAGAAATTACAATTTCATCTTTCCTAATTTACAAAGAAAATTGATCTTTCGTTATTTTTTCTGGACTTCCTTTACATTAATTATTATTGTAAATCAAATT